GAAACAATAATAGACATATCAGAAAACATAGAAGCAAATTGTTTTGCATACTTAACAGATGCAAGACAATAATGTCCGTCAGGATGTTCTTGAGTATCTGTACATGAAACCCCAGCTACGGCAACCCATGCTGGATGTCTATGTGCTTTTGCAGCAATTGAATTAGCCTGACAAGGTAAAAGATAATTATTTAATATTGTTTGTGCCATATAAATATTATATCTCTCCTCTAAATTCTTACGTAAATTTTCAATAATTCTTACTTTAATCATCTCTTTTCTCCTTTTTGGATCAGCTGATCCAGATTCAACAGAAGTATGTATTTGGTCATGTAGGTCTGGGTGTTGAAAAAGCAGTGATGGATGGCCAACCTTATCATACCGAACTATCTCCTGATTTTCAGTAAGCATTTTGAGCTTCTTTTCTCTGCAGTTTTGAGCGTATTTTGCATTCCTTTTTAATTTATTTATTTTTTCTTTGTTTAATTTAATTTCTGATTCAGCCTTTTCTATTTTTTTATGCATTTCATGTAAAATTTTTATATCACTTGTAATTTCACAGATTTGCCTCAATTCTGTGATTCTTTTTTCAATTAATTCAATTTCTTTAGCTATTTTTTTTTGAGCTGTTGCATTAATAGGGATTTCTAATGTATTCTCAATTGGAATAACAGCAGGAAGTGGAGAAACAGGTTCTACTTCTATTACAGATCTAGGACGGCTTGCTTTTACTGTTGGTATGTTATAACGATCAATTAGAGTAGTCAGATATTTCTTGATTTTGTTATTTATTTCTAATGCACTTTTGCTTTTAATTTTATTCCACTCTGCTGCTGTGTTACAACAAATATTTGCACAGTTTGGAGAGCTATTCTCTGTTCTGACCATAATACTATATGCGTAAGCATTAGTAAATTCCATATACTTATTAACGGGCGAATTGTAAATTGACTTTTTATTGAAATTTGGACTAATTAAGTAAGTTTGACAGCTTATTTTTTTTTAATTTTAAAAAAAGCAAACATGGGAGATTTTTTTTTATAAATTAATAAATTCTTTTATGATAGATTATTAAGTGAAAACATTAATATACAATAATTTATGTTTTTAATTGATCTAACCCGAAGGTGGGTTGTTTTTATTATTTATAGTATTTTTATATTTTTTTTTTAGATACATATTTACTGTATTTTATTTAATCTAATTGGCTCTTTTAAGCATGGCTAATTCATCTTGTTTTAATTTTACCACTTTTTTATTACACATTCATGGCTACTAAAACTTACATTTTCATGTGCATTTACATTAGCCTTGATTGAGCTCAATTTTGGCTTAATTTATTTCTTCTTTTCTTGTTCTATCAATGATTATATAGCTCTTTCATTAATTGCTTTTTTAGGTTAGCACCTTCATGAATCACATGGTAAAAAGTTATAGTATAGGTGGGCCAGAATTATATTTAAGTATGAATGAGATTCTATATATTTATTAGCTTCAGATAAGAGGCTGGAACTGGTTTAATAATTCAGGTTTATCATGTGAATTTTGTGATATTTTAGAATTTAATCCAATTAAATTTTAAAATATTACAAAATTCATGTGAAAACCCCAATTATTAAAACCGGTTCCAACCTCTACTTCAGATTTCTGAAATGATAAAGCTTTCACTTTATACATTTACTAGTATTATAAACAAAATTTTCTGTATATAGTAGCTTGGCTGTTGCATGTTGTAAAAAGTTAAATTGTGGTTTGTAATTTATTAGATCGAGATTAACATGATTTTCAGAACTTTTATTTAAAGAATATGAACTCTATCCACTTGTAAAGTTCATATTAAGTAAGTTTGGATTCTAGCTTTATCCGCTTTAGATAATCTTAAGATTAGAGCATGGCTAGTATATAATATTAAAATAAGCTTGTATGTTGAATTGATGTTTGGGTCATTTCTAGTATGTGTGTATATTATTGATATAGAAAATGATATTTTTCTAAAAACGGTTTCATGAGCTGCATGCAATTTAAATATATCATTTATAAATGCAAATTTTTATAAACGAATATAATGTATTAGTAATTTATGTACATAATATTTAGTTGATTTTTTTATAAATGTGTTTTTTTATACATGTAGGTCACATGATTACTATATTGAATTTTAATTGGCTAGCTTTATTATAATATATTTATTATAGTCTTATGTTGGGGTGGGGGGTTAGCTGCTATATCAAATCGATATTATGTAATAAATATCAGGGCCCTAAAAAGCAAAGAAACAAATTTGAAAACCATGAATATAGAAATAACAGAACAAGAAGAAGAAATGAACAATGAAGAAGATGAAACAATGTTTCCTACAGATTCAATTGAACATAGTCAGTGGTCCCCAAATAATCAAATATGTAATAAAAATAGGTCCTTTAAAGCAAATATGCTGACATATGCCTTGCTAGAGGAAACCAAAGAAGAAAGAATAAAGTATGTCCAGTGAATTCTAGGAAAAAATCACTACATCAAAACAGTCAAAGAGGTATTCAAAAATAGAAATAATTGGATAGAAGTAGATTTTAACTGTAAGCATAATAGAGATGTGACAATAGACAGAATCAAGAGAAAGAAAGGAGAATGACTAAAACTTATACCAGAAGAAACCAAAAACAAAACTTACAATATAGTACAGCAAGAAGAGCATAACACTACGAGAAGAAAAAAAGAAAGTATGAGATGAAAAGAAACAAAGAAGGACATTGAAACAAAATAATCAAATATTAAAAACAGAGAAAGAAAAGAAGAAAAATACAAAAACACAAGCCAAGCAAAAGCAAAAGTTAAGATCACAAAGAGCATCAGAATGGAAAAGAATGTGAAAACAGAAAACTATCTTACAATTTGGGACCTACTACTGAATATCAATATAGAAGAGATAGAACACATATGCAGAAACATCAAAGATGCCAAAATAGAATGAATCAAGAGGTCCAAATACAAAGCTCTGGCAATTGTATATATGAAGAATTTAAGAGAGAAAAACATCTTATAGGCCTTGCCAATTGGTACATACAAACTAGCAAGAGTGTCCAAAGGCAATGAAGACTACAGTCTATGAGACTAACACAGTCTATATACATCCAAGTTGCTAAAGCTTTCAGAAAATGCATCTGAAGTGCTACTATGATGCTTAAGGAAAAGAGATGCTAAGTCAGTATACATACCAACAAACAGAAATAAAAATCAAAGAAGATCTGCAATAGTTATCTTTGCATCAGAGAAGGAAATGAAGATAGCACAAACTAAGCCAATAAGATTTAACAATCACTTGTTATTTTGGCAAGGTAAAACAAAAAAGAGGAAGCAGAATGAAGAAGAAGAAGAATTTTATGAGAAGCACATAATTGCACATAACATAAATATAAACTTAGATGCAGAAGTATATAAAAACAAGAGTAACAGGGAGGAAGAAGACACAGAAGAGTATAATAAAAATAAAAAGAAGCATCACATATATTCAATAAGAAAAGAAAACTCTTAGACACAAAGCCAAGATCTTTTGGAAAAAATTCTTAAGAGACTAGAGAAACTTGAAGCACAACAAAACAAGACAAGAGGAAAGATAAAAGAAGACCTTTCTAATCACTCCTAACAGCACCACAGTTAAATTAATAAGCATAAACTAGAAGATTGGAGAGTTTTTGTATAGTGAAAGAAGAAACTTTGAAGAAAGAAATATGGATGCATCTCTTGGCTATAATAAAAAAACAAGAAAAAAAGGAAAAGAAAAGATAAAAAATATGGGAACAAAGCATAAACACCTTAAAGAGAAATGGAAACAAAAGAAGAAGGAGGTAAAAATTGCATGCTACAATATCAATAGACTAAAAACAAGAGGATAAAAAATAGAAAACCTCCTAGAATGGGCAGAGACAGAAGAGCTTACAATAGTAGAAATTATGAAAACAAAAATTTCAGAAAAAGAAAGAAAATTTTTATTGCATAGGTATAACACACAGTATAAGGGATACTAGACTAGTGCAGTAATAGATAAGAAAAAGGACTTAGGTGTAGGAATTCTAATAGATGAAAAGTGGAAAAAGCATGTAGAAGCAGTTAAAAGAGTTAGTGAATATATGTTAGAGATGATATTATACTTTAAACAATTAGAACTAGTGGTACTAGGAGTATACATCTCACCAAACAACAAATCAATCAATAAAAAAATTCAGCAAAAAGTTGTAGAAGTAGTAACAAACAGAAAAAGATATACAAAAGTGATCATATTGAGAGACTTCAATCACATAGTAGATAATATACTAAATAGGCAACATTTGCAAACATCAAACTACAAAAAACTGCCAATATTTAGCTGACTTAAAAAACAGAACTTTATAGATTCATACAGAACTTTACATCTAACAGAAGAGGCATACACATGGTCAAATTAGGAGACTGCAACAAGAATAGATTATATTTGGCTGTCAGAAATATTAGCATTAGATTTACAGAAAGCTAAGATAGAAGAAGCAGAAGGTTTTACAGACAGTGACTATAAGATAATAACAACAGAAATATGAATAGAATATATAATTACAAACTGCAATAAAGCAGAAATTAAACGAAAAGACTAAACAAGAACAATATACCTATATGAAGAAGCAAAACAAGAGGACTGGGAAGATTATGCAAAAGAGTTACAAAATCAGCTAGAATGGAAAAGAGTATTAAAACAATTAGAAGAAGATAATATAATAACAGAAAATAGTATAAAGGTATTGGACCAAATGTGGAGCACAATAGAAGAAACTATAATCAAAGCAGCAAACAAACAAATCCCAAAAAAGAAAATATTTAATACTAAATTGAATAGAAGACAAAACCAGAAAAAAACAACAAAACACAAACATCTCATCAAACTCCAGCAAATAATCAAGAAAGCAAGAAGTAAGAAGAACCAGAAAGTGGAAAAGAATGAAGGAGTTGAAATAAATAACAAACTCCAAACTATAGGAAAAAAGCTTGGCACAACATTGCCAAAATTACACAGACAGTGATCAGAAGCTTGGATAGATAATATGAAAAGTTGGCAAAGAATACTTAAGGAGAAAAGAAAAGAGGAATGAGAATGAGCACAAAGAAAACAGATAGAAGAAAACATAAAAAGAAGATGTAAAATGATTAAAACAGATCAAGATCGAATGATTGCTAGTCTACTAAATAAACCATACAAAAAGATTATTTTAGACTAATTTATAATATAAGACAATGAAGAAGTCAACCTAATATTAGAACCAGACACAGTTCTAAATAGTTTGGCAGCTCATTTTAAAAACCAATTTAGAAAACAAAAAACCAAGTTTAAAGAAATAGCAAAAGAATGGAAAAGAGTATATAACTCGAAAGCTTGAATTAAAGAGACCTAGTATAAAGAATTAGAAGAAAGAATAGAAGAAAATGAATAAAAAGAAACACTTAGAGAGCTTAAAGTGAATATAGCCTCAGGAATATCAGGCATAAGTTATACATTAATAAAACATGTAGAGAATAAATCACAAAAGATTTTCAGAGCCTTTGCAAATCTGATTCTAGAAAAAGAAGACATACCAAAGAAGTAAAAAATTGCACAAATATATCCAATTTCAAAAGACATAAACTAGGACTACTGCTTAAACAACATCAGGCCAATAGCATTAATAAAGGCATTTAGGAAAGTCATTACAAAAGTAGTAACAAAAAGATTAGCCAGAGTGTTTACAAAAAGAAATATACTTAAAGAACCAAATTTTGCAGGCCTGCCAGGTAATTCAATAGAGCAACCAATACATATACTGAACATGATAATGAAAGAGGCACAAGAAAAGAATAAAGAAGTTTGGATTCTGTTATAAGATATAAAA